ATCCATAGCCAAAATTCTTCGACTCCAAGTGCCACACTGGGAGCTCATTCCCCCGGCTGGGATACGAACCAAGGCTTCCTGCTTGCAGGAGGGGTGACTTACCACTTTAGTTAACCAGGTTGACACAGGTTTTATTTACCGTGACCGACATACAAGGATTAGCTGAGGTGAAAATCATATCTGTGACATGGTGGTGGATTACGTGTTGAAGGCACACTTGTTTCCTTTAGCTGCACCCACATTGGTAGCTGCTATGTTTGTGATAATAAGGACAATCTGCTCCTAATGATAAAGCGTTCTGTAGAAGTGGTGTTGATGAGCCTGCAGGGAGACTCTGGAGACTTGAAATGTTGAATTTTAAAAACAAGAAGCATCACTTCCTCCTGAATCCATGTTTACTAAACAAACAGAACTTGTAAGCTTCCATCACTGCCATCAATTTAAAATATTTCTGTCTTCTGGTTTGTTGTGTGTGGAACAATATTTAAATTCACCTTAATAATTAGTGAAAAAACATTCAGAAAATGATGACTAGATGATTTCATACTTTTTTATGTTTTCTGAGATGCATTTAGGAAATAAAACATTAGAATCCAAAGCTAAACTTCCTGCATTTTAAACACAATCAATCCAATCTCTTGGAAATACTTCTGTCTTATTAATATTAACAGAAGTTTCAATTTTGCAGCTGCAGTTTTATCTGTATTCATTACAGAACAGCATGCTGCTTAACATAACATCCTTATAGAGAGATTGCTTAACTAATATCAAACCAAAATAACAGTATTTTTAATGTAATTTCATGTCCAGCTCTAAATAACAGGGCAAAGCAGTGAGGTCTTGAAGAAGTAGAGAAGACAATCTTGCCCTGTTCTGCCCTCTAGAGGTCAGAAGACCAAAATACACTTGGCAAGCGTCAACAAAAACATCCAGGTCACAGTTCATCATAATCTTATCAAATAAAGCGCAGCAGTCACAGAGAAGTGTTTAGTAAATAAACTGGACTTTTAGTTAAAGTAATGTTTTTTTAGCTTTATGACAAAAAAAAGTTATTACCACAAGCATCAGCATGACTGAGAATGTTCTAAAGAAGTGCACAAACAGGGAGTAGTCAGCAGCATGTTCACGGCATTTGAAAAGACGACTCCCAGATTATCTTGAAACCTGATTTACAGACACATACAGAAGGTGGTGTTGCTGTCATCACGTTTGTTCTTCTAATCTAATCATAACAAAAAGACGACATGATCTGATCCACGCAGCTTAGTGTGAGTCAGGGAGGAAAACGCAAAAGCAGCCATCAAACTAAAACGTAACTGAACAAGTTTAACTCTTAGTTCTGTTTAGACCATCTGAAGCAGATAAACAGGAAAACAATGCTGGCTGGAGATGCGCCGTGATCAACCCTGTAGTGTTATTAATGAGCTACTTTAGAAGTACAGGATGCTACAGCAGATTAAATACTTTAGAAGAAAAATATTAATCTCAGTCCAAATGTTCAAACCACATGAACGTAAATGTTGATTCAAAGGTTTCATCATCATTCATTTATCTATCAAAATGTTTAAAATAATTTTTTTTACTATTTCTATATTAATACTAATATAAATATTGCTCTAAGTGGGTTGTTCTGTCAGCTAACAGCATCTTTAGAGTCTCTATACTCCAGTTAATGATTAATCGATTACTAAATTAGTTGATGATTATTTCAATAATCGATTAACCACGATTAATTTGATTAATTGTTTCAGCTCTAATCTAAATGTATATATATTAATTTCAAAGGCAGAGGGGAACAGTCAGGTGTGGGAAGGATGTAACAGCTGCTGGATGCAGCATCTGTGGTGTTAAAGTTAGTCAGGACTCCAGCACCAGTGAAGCAAAAGTACCACAAATTTGAGTCAATATCTAAATCAGCACAACAAACATTTATTGTATTCATAGTCTTATGTTAACACTGATTAAATTAAAGTGGCTTATTTTAATTCTGCAATTCTATGTTATGCTTCTTTGTCTTGAATTATATTTTTTGATTATTATGAGGATTTGAGTTGGACTACAGTTGGACAGTGCATATCCTGCGTATGTACATGTTCAATTTTTTTTTCCTTTTATATTTTGGCTGATCTACGTCGAATATTGGCCAATATTGGATATTGTGTTTTTAAAGACCTCAATATTGATAATGGTATCTGCCTTCAAAATCCCATATCGGTCTGGCTCTACTTGCAAACCACCCTTTTCTTTTTACAGGCTCTGTCGACGCTTTATATATTTTTAAATAGGCATGCCACAATATTTAAGATAATTTCAGTCATTTTTTTTTATGTTTTGCGCTAATTCATAAAAAATTGTTTGCCGTCCTGCTCCATTAACCTTTGTCCAACGGCATAGACAGTTTTTCTTCATTATTTAGTTATTTCTGATGCTCCAAATAAGTTTACATGCAGTGACTCTCTCTCCATCGACTCTCATTGTATTAATGCCTCCTTTGTGGATTTGCACCTGACCTCTAGAAGTGTTAAACAAGTTGCAAAAACTGCTGCCTCAGAAGTTTCAGAATTGAAAAAAACACTTTGTGCATGATAGGTTTTTACATTTGCTTATCCTCCGTCCATGAATTTGCACGGTTTGGTTGTTAGCATATTATCTGGATATTGATGAAGTCACACACATACAAAAAAAGGTTTGCACACGCTGTCTGCTAGATAGAAGACGTAAAAACCTTCTGAAGATCTTAACATTTGGCTTTTGATCCCACGTGTCCTGTTTCTTCATCCAAATCTGGTTTTATTTGATTTATAATTATAAAAAAGCAAGCATGAACTCATACCTTAAGTCCTGGTTTAAGCATGAACTGAAACACGTTCATCTGTGTGTTGAGGTATCCATCAATCCATCCTCCCTGGTCTTTATTCTGCATCATTTATATTCTGTTAATTGATTCCTCTGATCATCCATCTTTGGTTTTCAAGGTTGCTAAATAACTTCATAACTGAAAGATAACTTTTTTTTCTCTTTCTAAAAGTAAAGAATATTGACTTTTAGAACGCATCATTTTAAAAAATACCTTAAAAAATGTTATTGTCAATTCTATTTTTCATATTAATCATTGTAAAAGGAGAACGTACAAGAGCATTGGAGAGGCAAAGACCTACTGTACAACAAATGCAGTACAAAGGAGATTATCATTAACGTCCGGAGGTCAAAACCTGGGATCAAGGTAGGATTATTGGCTTATCAAGGTAGCTTCAGGTTCAGCTCGAGATTTTCTGTATCAAAACGCTGTTCATTTAACCAGGAAATGATATCAGAAATCAAGAACATGAACTTCTCAACCAATCAATGTCATGGAAAAAAAAATATGAAAGAAATCAAACTGCAAAAACAGCATGTTGAGTCAGAGAAACGTCCCTGATGTTTTCTCCTTGTTAATTCCTGATTATATTTAATCAAAACGGTTTCCTCCAACAATACATCTTCATTGTTTATCAACTGTGTCTGAGTGCAGAGAACATCTTCGTCTGTAACTCACTGTATGTGCAAAAGAGAATTAAAAGAGTGACGTTTGCTCCGTGAAGAGTTAGATATTCATCTCCTAATCATAATTTGCACATCTTGTGTACAAATTTCTCTGTTGGGGCGAGCGTTCTGTCCCGTTCCTGTTTTACATGAACGTACACGTCCAGAGTTTGTAAGCCTGGACAGACTTAACATGATTACGACCTCCTTCATGCTACCAAATAAGCACAGTCTTTGTTGCTCAGATTTAATTAAGTTAGATCTCACTAACAAAACCCTGACATCTTGCTTTGTAATGGAGGTCCCTGCCCAGAGTCGTAGAACGCAAACACTCATTGGTTAGCTAAAGGAAATCATCAGAA